TTGAATAAGAAGACACTAAAAGCTCGATGCAATAATCCTTTCTCGATGTTTTTATTCAGGTGACAATTCTTTTTGGTCTCAGCCCCAATCTTCTTGTCATTTTCATCGATAACTATGCACATCTCTGCCAGGAGCTTAACCTGTTGCTCATCCAGGCTGTCAGTGGTGATTTCTGGCATAGTTACGGGATGTCTGCTCTGTCCTGGAACACTAGGAAGAGAAAGGCCATTATACCACACTTCTCTGAATGTCATATAAATGTAGTGACAAGGCAACTCCCAGCCCAGTAAGCAACTCAGCCATTCCAAAGGGTACGAACTGTGCTTGCTGCTCACTGCATTCCCACTGCTCTTTGTCCCCACCCCAGCCATCATTTCTCCTACAGGCAATCAGCAGGCCTTCTATCCCAGCCACTCTTAACTGACAGACTCAATGTTCTCCTCTAAATTCTTGTCCTGTGACACACCCTGTGCAGCATTTGACAATCAATCCTCCCTCTGTATGTACCCTTTTCTTCCTTGAGTGTCCATCTATGTCCTATCCGCAACCTAACTTTTCATCCTGTTTTCCAACAACAGTTTCTGCATTGTCATAACCCATATTATAATACTATTTATAGCACATGTGGGTTATGTTATAATCATCACCACCCCAACTGTGTTGGCATTCCCTCCTGGACCACATACCAATCTCTGCTGAAATCCATTTTTCAGGCTCCAATTCATGTGCCAAACACTCAAGAACCTTTTCCAATACCCCAGTAAGATTCACCCAATTTTTCTTATCCGGGTTCCTGCTCAGATTTGCCGCTGCTGCGACCACTCTTCAAGGGCAGCACAGTAACTAACGCCATTGCGGACGCACGAGACTGAATTCACCGTCTGCGGTGGGGACTCTCCGCGCAGTGTCACCCCGCCGCTGCGCTAACGCAGCCACGGAACGAGTACAAACTGTTCCCAGGAAACTTTGACGGGCAGTGAAACTGAAATTCCACTCCATTTTCACATGCCCCAAAGCATTTCCTTCTTTAGGGTCCCCCCCCGAAACAACCAAAAATGAAAAACCATTCTTAGCTCACAGGATATAAAAAACAGGCGGTGGGGCCGGATCCGGTTCCCTGGCCGCAGTTGGTCCCAACCTACCGAAGCGCAGAGGTTGCTCGCTCTGAGCCCCGGGACCCTCGGGGGCCCCACCTCCCTCATTCTCCCCTAAGGGACCCCTCACTCCCAGTCTCTATCCTTGGGGAACTGCACTCCACGTTGCTCCCGCTGGGGACCCCTGGAAGACCTAGGTATTGCCCCTCGAGTAATCCCCGTACCTGAACTGCCGGCTGTCTGCAAGACGCTGCTCTGCCTCACACGCCTTCAAGAGGCCGCACCTCGCGACCCAGGCCCCGCCTCCTCGCGCCGCTCGACCAATCGTCCGAGCCCGTGCCAGAGCGCGCCACATGTCCGCAGGCCAATCACGCACCGACCCGCACCTGACGTCACAATCGCGCGTTGGCTCCACGCCCGGTTCGTGCAAGGCCTGCTCGTTGGACCGGGCACAGAGAGGCCTTCACGTTGGGGCGCAGGTGCCCCTATTCCGTCATTCGTGTTCCTCAGAAAGACCGTGGAAGCACCTGCCAGGCTCCTTTAGAAACGATGGGCGGGTCCAGCGGCTCGCTGGAGGACATCGCAGGGCGTTTGCAGAGGCCGTAAAGACGCGCCTGCGCACCGGGCCCTGCGCACTAACCCGGAAGGCTCCTCCCGCTTGGCGCTGGCGTGAATGCGAATGAAAAGCGGTCTTGATATGCTAGGTTGGAGGCTATGAGAGCTTTCTTGTTTGGGTTCGTTGAAGAGTTTGTCTCCAATGGAAAAGTTCTACAGGTCCTAAGGCAGTGTCGTTCCCAAGGACGGGTTAGCTGAGAGACTGAGGTGTTGCGGGGAACCCAGACAAAGAGACAGGACACCAAGGCGTGGGAAGCAACTTTTATTAATGCCGGCACTGGCTCGGATTCACATCCAGAGGCTGAGCCCCCACTCAGGTGGGATTTGGGGTTAGATACCCTGAGGTTTCCTGGTTGGCAGCTAAGATTTATTATTAGGACATGTGGCCATTGTGCCAGTTCCTGACTGGTCCACGGGTGAGGTGGGAATTTGGAAATATTACACGGGGAAGTCTTGATGACCATACAGTCCAGGAATGTCTTTGTCCGAAGCCCGCTCAAAAATCCTTGGTGACCACATGGTCTGGGAAGGTTTTTGTCTAGGGCCCATTGCCACAGAGGTAGAGACAGTTTAAGGAGACTTAGACGCTTAGGTGGAACCGAGCAGGTGGCATTCATTTACTTATTATATATTCATGGAGGGCATATGTGACAAATGGCCTTACTGATGCTTGACCAGAAGATTTCAACTAGTAGGTTAAGAGTATGTTTCTGGGAGAGGTTGAAATTGCAATTAGATAAGGTATTAAATCTAGGTTTGGTATCATGGGCTTTTAGCATGAGTGACGCCATTTTGGGTCTTTGGTTTTTCTTCTTTAACAGACTTCCTCTTTGTAATTTTCTCTCCCCTCGTTTGCATATTGGAACTAACCCATCCCTGTTAACCTAGCTCCAATTCTTCATTTGCATGAAAGAATTACATTTTGTGGTCTTCGCCTTTATAAAACCCTTTCATTTTTTTTTCTCTCCAGAGCACAGTTTGAGTTGCTACCTGAATTTATGTGTTTTGGATTTGAATCCTTTAAGACCCCAAATAAACTTTTAAATTGTTTCACAGCCTCATATTTATTGGCCGACATAACATGGTGTCAGAGACAGGGGATCCAAAGCGACTTGCTTCTTCCTCAGAATCCATTGTGGTCTGTTGTCTCTTTGCCCATCCCAGATTGTGTTGGTACAGCCTCCTGCCCTACATGAGGTTCAGGTTTATTTGGATGATGTCTGTTGCTGGTTTTTGTGTACAGAACTTAATGTACCTGTCTGGTTTTGTCTGCAGGATTCAGCATGCCCATCTGGTGAGTAACTTGTCTTCTGGTCCTCTGTCAGAGTGCTCTTTTTGTAGAATCGAGAATCCATGTTCTACAGGAATGGTTACTGAGTGGCCACCATCTAGAACACCTGATGTTCTAAAATTATAGGCCCTCGTCCTGTAAATTACTACCTGGGATGATTTACAAGTAAATTGTCCATTATGGGGAATTTTTGCCCTCCATAAACTTGTTCTCAAAACTAAATTAGGAAACAATGGCTCTAAAATAAAACTAGAATGTATATCTATTTTAATTGGTACCTTGAGGGTTCCAATGTATTCAGGACTCTAAGTTAACCGAGGTTAACAACTGGAAAATAAAAAGTAAAACTGGCTTCTGAGGCCACTTTCCCCCCTCCCTGCTCTTTGTCTCTGGGGGAGGTGGGTGCAGTGATAAGACAGGTCAAGAGTTAACAGGAAGGAGCTTGGGAGTTAACAAGAATAAGCTTAAAGATTAACCATTTGGGTCTGGCTCTGAATCCCCAATAAGCACAACCAGAAAAACAGCTTAAATCATAGAAGAAGTTGACCATAGAGGCAACTCCCTGCAGTCAATAAATACCCTAAATCATAGATGGGAGCCAGCAAGACAAACTTAGTGATTAATGAGCTTGGGAACCAAGGAGATAAGCCTGGCACCTAATTACATCTCAGGTCTATGAGGAAATAAGGCTAAGTTTCTCACAGACGGCTAACTGCGATAAGAAACCCCCACAAACTACCAGCCCCCATCTCCCTGCAGGGCAAACTTAAAAACTCAGGCTGTGAGGGGGAGCTCGGAACAGCTGTCTACTCTAGACTATGCCTCCTGCAACTTGTCTGCCAGTGTTTCTCAAACTTTCTAACTTCTGTTCCTTTGTGCCTTGTGAATACTTGCACAATCCACGAGCGGCCACGACATGCAGCAGCCACACTCTTCTCAGGCTCTACTTCTGATGCCATTTTCTTATCTCCCTGTCTAGGAAACCTGCCCTTTTAAATTCAGACCTGGTGAGGCCACTCTGTTGGCATTCTGAGCTTTCTGACTTAATTTGCACACTTGCTTTCTGTTTCTTTTTTGTTATGTTTGTTGATAAGTCCATTTTAAAGGACACCATTAAAAGAGAGGCTCTCAAACTTCTCAGCGGCAATGGGATGCATTCTTTGATGGATATGTAGAGCTTATAAAAGACAGTCCATCTGTCAGTAATGTAATTTGGATCTAGTTTTTCTTTTGAGTTTTGTATGATTGTACCTAAAACATAACTAACATTTTAAAATGAAAGCTATGAGATTTCTGTGCCTATCTGTAAGTTTAAGTATGTCGATGTATGTATATTACGGATACATTTTCTACCTCTGAATGGTATGCCCAAAATTAATTTTTTAGCTAAAAATTAGATTGTAAGGGAGCCCTGTTCAATCAGCTTAACAACAAATGAGTCCTCATATGAATCGAAGAAATACAACATTTGCTTTTCAAGTGCACATTGCCTACTGTTGGTCAGCATGTGGAGGACGTTGCTTCACTGGCCCAAGTTGGCACCATCATTGCGCTCCCTTCAAGGTCTTAATTCTCTTGCAAGAAGCCCCTTCCCTCCCCTGTGTCTTAGGCTGTAGAGTGTGAGCCTGCCACATCATGAGCCTCTGACCATGCTGTTCACCCTTCAGAATTCAAAAGTACCAGGAAGGACTTAAGAACGTGCTCGAACCACACTGAGCCCCGCATAGGAGGTGTCCACACTGTTCTTCCTGCTAACGAGTCCATAAACCAGAGCCTTCCTTGCACGCACCTTTGCGCCCCCACCGGTTATATTTTTGTCGGCACATATGAAAATCAGCCTTGGTCTTTGGATTGTCTAGGTAGTTGGAGACCAACTGGACAGTGCCTTCTGGGCCATTTGACATTCCCTTTTACTATTCTTGAAAAGGCAGGCTTTTCAGATGAGGGCAACTGCTTTTTTTTTTTTTAACTTTTTTATTGTGAAATACACATTTTTTTAGAATTAGTTTCAGCTGTATCACGCAGTGCAATAGTTATACTTTTTACCCCTCGAGGTGACAAACCCACTCCCCCAGGCAACTGCTTTCTTAGAATCATGGGCTCATGGGCTGGCCTTGGCTCTGCTCAGTTAGACGCCATTCTGCCAAACCAGAACCATTGACTTAACAGCCCGCCCAAACACTAGTGCCACCGGTCATCAATAGAGTCGTTAGACCCCTCAGCTTGATACCCCAGGACTCCACAGCCTAGATTATTGCCTTGCAACACTAGGCGGGGTTTGTGCCATCACTAATACTTCCTTTTGTCCGGGACAAGACGTCTCAAGTAAAATTAGAGAGGTCCACAGTATTCACATTAGCCAAATCTTTAAAGGGAACTTCAAGCTTTACCTCAGGATGGCTTCATGTTAAAATCTGATATTTGTAGCTGGCTCCCTTCAGGACTGGAGCTCTCCTGCATTCGGGGTTACAAGTTATACTATTGATTGTTGTTTTAATTTGTGCCTCTCACTTCTGTTCAAACCACTTACCTGCATCTTTCTTGCTGCTGTGCTCCTCAGAGGCCCAAAACCCACCATTAGGCCTGCCTTGGAGGAAATGTGAAGCTCTGCATAAAGTCTAGACCCTGCTTCCCTGGGGCCTCCTTGTTGCTCTTGTGCGGCCTCAAGACTGTCACACAGCATGCCTCGAATGAAACAGATATTGCCTAATCATGGTATTCTCCCTCCGAGGGACATGATGGACCTGGAGCAGGCCAGTGGCCACTCGTGCCCCGCCATGGGACTATGATCATATGAAACAGCGTTGGTCACTGATGCCTTCTGAATCTGAAAGGTCGTCACCCAATGATGGGATGATGATAATGGAAAAAATAAAACGCAGTAAGCATTGCTAAGGTATCACTTAGACTAGTCAAGAGCTGTTAGGGCAGTGGGGCCTCTGCACAGCTGGGCCTCAGGTTCCACAGCTGCTGTTGGGCTACTAAAGTCAGCTCAAGGCTGAGCCATAAACATCCTGGAATGACAGCTGCATGGACAATATGGACTTGACCTCCTCCTTGTAGTTTTCATCCCATTTGCACATTGCAACTGGCCAGCCCTGTGAGGCTAGCAGCAGTCCTTCATTTGCATGAAAGACTTACACCTTGTGGTCTTTGTTTCTACAAACCCTGCCTTTCTTTGTTCTCTCCAGAGTGCAGTTTGGTTTGCTTACCCACATCTGTGTGTCTCACATGGGAATCCTGTAATATCCCAGATAAACTTTTAAATTGCTCTACAGCCTCAGATCTTTATTGGTGGACAGTGTTATTACGCAATTACTTTTTACCTCACAAAGCCCCTGGTGGGTTGGAAATGCCGGGGTTCCTGGACCACTGTGAGAAATCTGGTGCAGTGGGAAGCCCACGGGACTCAGAGGACCTCCTTAGTTCCTGTCTGGGCTCTGCTACTTGGTGCTTAGTACTGTTGGGCTGGAACTCCAGGCCCCATGACCTCCATCCTGTGAGGAGAAGCTCAGTTTGTCTTTAAGCTCCCTTTCTGTTTAAATCTGCCTGTGTTGTTTACTGTGTGGGAAGCTTTTTTTTTTTTTTAAAGATTTTATTGGGGAGTTGGGGCAGGGAACAGTGTTGGGGAATTGGGAAGAGGAACAGCCAAGTTGTTGTCCTTCAGTCTTAGTTGTGGAAAGCGCAGCTAGCTCAGCTCCAAGTTCAGTCACCATTGGCTGCCTGTCAGCACAGTTCAGGGCAGCTCAGCTCAGGCGCAGCTCACTGGCGCATGTGGGAATCTTACAGGTGACCCTGTTGCTCAGAGCTTGCACTCTTGAGCAAGCTCTTAACCAACTGAGACACTCGGCTGGCCCCCAGGAGCTTTTTACATGCACTCTTTTACTTTATCCTTACAAGTAAGTGGGTCCACATTTATGTGAAGACACTGAAGTTCAAAGATGACTTACATTTCTTTCATGTTCCCCCTCAGAATTAGTCTCAGGTGACCAAACGTTCTGTATTTGCACTCCATAGTAATTGCATTCCAACACTCTACTTTGAAGACTCCAAGTTATGGAAAATGTTGACACCAGACTGGGGACAATGACGTCCCCTTTAGGAAACCTTTGTATATAATCCTGATATAATAGATATGGAGAATGGCAGATTCAAATTACACAGCAGAAGGAGTTTGTCCTGCATTCTTAGGACTATTTACAAGATTCAGAGTCATTCAGTTGTTTGGTTTTAAGTTCTGCTTTTTAGCAAAGTTCACTCCAGAGCTGTTTGAGTGTTTGGCTTCCATATGGTTAATATGAACAACAGCAATTAGTTCTTACTTTGTGATCTTGGGCTGGTAATTACTTATAGTGGAGCGCCTCTTCCTTAAAATATGCATAGTGGTAACTCAGTAACTGGGCACGGTTATTTTTATGAATGTAAGTGCCTGTTGAGATATAAGTTATGTGGTACTGATGAAAAAATGAAGGGATATCAACTGTGTGGCTTAGAGACCAATAGAAAACTACTCGTAGTATTTTATTTTTCATTGGCATGTACGGGCGATCAATAGACAGTTTTCTAACATCATCTGGAACAGGTTTTTGGTATACTTTTGGGAAGACTTTCCCAAGTATTTTCCCCCAAATAATGACCTCACTTTGTAATCTAGATGTTACGATAATGAACACAAAGCAAATTTGTGTCTTTATTCAAAATCTTGAAAACTCCTTTCCTAGAACTGAACCAAACTTATTCCTAAAACCAATTTGAAGACCAAACATACACTCACTTGAGATTAGAATAGTTGTCACTTTTCGCTTGGCACCTGGACAGGACACAGAGTAATGAACTCTACTGAAAAATTAGAGAAAACATGACAAGTGTGTACCAGGTGGAACCTAATACAGAGACTAATGCTTAATGAGGTGGGGAAGTCAGAACCTGTCCCAGTGTCATGGATGAGGCTGAGGCACAGGGTACGTGGGTCAGCAAGTCAGTGCTGGTGAAGTTTCCTTGTGTAGACTGGATGCTGTGCTCCATGAAACTATGCACTAGCACAGTGCACATCCGAGTGAACACAGGTATGAGTAGGAGAGAGACTGAGTAGTTGATCAGCCGATTCTATGTACCCTCCAGCTGACAGCGTTTTTCTCAGGGCTCCTCTAGCGTAGAGCTGATGAATTTGGTAGATAAAAGGAACTGGAAAACTTGACCTCTGCCATTCAGAAGTCTATATGCTCATGAGGAGTATTTATTTATCCTTTAGCCAACGTTTTTTTTGTGGGGCTTACTGCACCAGGCACTTTCGTAAGTCATGGGAACATAGCAGCAAACAAAATAAAGTTGCAGCTTTTATAGAGTTTACAGTCCAGTGGGTGAAACAGTAAACAAATAAACACAAATAATGTCAGGTGATAAATACTGTGGAAAAAAAATTATGGTTAAGGGGTAGTGATGAACTACGCCATTTACAAAGAAGTTATAGAACATCTCTGAGGAGCAGAGATGAATGAAGTATTAAATATGGAGTTCCTTTAGAAAAAAGTTTGAGTATATGAGATTTTATATGTATATGTATATGTATATGTATATATACTTTCATATAAAAATCTCATATGTAACACACACATAGTATGACTGGAGAATGATTACACAGCAACCTGTCAACCAGCTTGGAACCCTATAGTATAAATAAATACCTTGGTGTTTGGGGCACATGATTGAACACCCAGCAAACCTCATTTATCTATCAAACCACACTCATAATCGAATCTTACTAAATTCCTTATTTC